AAATTAAAAATTAAAAGTTAAGAAAAGGTTGGGTTTCTTTTTTCTTTTTTTGAGGGAGGAGGGGTACTGGAGATTTAACCCAGGCGTGTTTTCYACTGGGTCACATCTCCATCGCTTTTTATTTTTTATTTTGAGAACAGTGCTTAGGGTCTCACAAAGTTGCTGAGGCTGGTCTCGAACTTGCAATCCTCCTGTCTCAGCCTCCTAAATTGCTGGGATTACAGATTTGTGCCACACCACTGCTCCTGGCTTACCTCTTACTCTTAAGTGTACAAATGATAATACCTTTTGAAATAAAATCCTCACATATAACTTTAATAAGAACCATTTAAACTAGAACTTGGAAAAATATTAAGTGAGAAATTTACTGGGCAAATAATGTCTTTAATTTATGATTATTCAAAAGTTGAGTATGTATCTCCTCTTATAGAGCCCATGTTCTCTCCTTTCTGGTTCTGGCAAAGAAGAAACCTTCAGTTGGTTGTGCTCTTGAGACAACCTATAATAATTTTATTTAGAGAAAAAAATACCTTGCAATACACTGAACTGACAGATCAAGATGGAAGAGAAAGTTGGTGCTTTGGGAAAATTTAAATGAGAAAACCACAAAATTTCCAATTGAAAAGTATTTTTCCCCCTCCAAAAGATTGCACCCCTTTCATTTAAGAATAGGAATCCAGACTAAAGGCTCTGGGATGTAGTCCTCACCATACATAGACTACAGACTACCCTTGACATGCCTGAAGCTATTGCAACCAGCCTGCATGCAGGGTGTTTCCATGACATTTCCTAATAGAAACCTAATATAAATTAAACAAGTTTGAATCCATTTATAATGTAACTAGTTTTATAAAAATATCCAGAGTTGCTAATAAGGCACCAAGAAAAAGAAAACGTCAGGGAGAGCACTCAAATCCTTCTTAAAATGTTGTTCTTTTATGATTTTCTCTAATAATCTCCAGAGTGATAACAATCACCTTTGGCATGCCCTACCCATATAATCTTAAGAGATATAGAACACCACTATGTTGACTATAACTAAATGCCAATTTTTATTGTTATTATTTAAGAGACTAGTTACAAGATTTCATACCTTAGTCTCAAAAAGGTAAAACAGGTAAAACTTGCCTTGTCTTTATTTTATATTATAGCATTAATATTTTGATGCTCTTTCAGTAAACATTGATATAACTATCCTGGAATTACCCAAGAATTATTAAGTAGCTACAGTTACCTACAAATATTGTATTCAAGTGAAAAAAAAATACAGTAATTGCATATTTTCAGAAAACACTGTAGCCAGAGGAAAAGAGGAAATACTGGGGAATGATACTGGACAAATCATATTATTACATTATAAACATGTATAAATATGAAACAACAAATCCCATGATTATGTACAACTCTAATGCACCAATAAAAATGAAGAAAAAGGAAAATATTGTATAAAAATTAAATAAATGAAAGCCTTAAAGAAAAATAGATTTTCAAATTGAAGTAACCAAAGCTCATAGTAAATGAAAACATTTCTAAACATGATGTAAACATAAATGGAGTAATGCAAAACATCAAGGTATGCAAATCTACTGTATTGCTATTTTCACCCTTAACATATAATTCTACATAGCTTTCTCCTTTTGGAACAATAATATAAGGGGCAGGACATTATTTTCATAACCTTATGCCATCAAATCAGTTAATACAGATGCTTGACACATTCAATTATACAAAATAAATTTGTTTCAAGATGCAAAATTAATCTTGAAATGTAATTAATGAAGAAAAAAGATGTTACAAAGATAGCTTTGGGGCTGGGGTTGTGGCCTGTCTAGCATGCATGAGGTACTGGTTTTGATCCTCAGCAGCACATAAAAATAAAATAAAGGAATTGTGTCCACCTACAACTAAAAAATAAATGTTTAAAAAAAAGGAATTCCCAGATTGGGGCTGGGTTGTAGCTCAGTGGTAGAGTGCTTGCCTAGCATGCGTGAGGCATTGGKTTTGATCCCAGGCACCACATAAAAATAAAAATAAAACAATAAATAAAAACAAATAAGAATACCCAGATATATGCTGTATTTCCACTTTGGTCAGTAAAATATCAACACATTCACTTAGATACTGATTTAATTCATGGATCAAGGCCATATTCTCAAAGTATTTTAAGGATGCCAGGAAACTGCAAAAGCAGAAGAGATTTGAAGAACAGTATGTGCTAGCTAAACAAGAACTGTGTTTATTTAGCTAGTGAATAYCTAGAATAATAAATTTTTACTTTATGATAGCCACCAGCTCCCAAACACCCAGAAATAGGAATTAAGGATTTTAAACGTAGTTATAAAGGTCATAAAAAGTCTGATTAGACTGAGGTACATTTACTCAAAATTTTGAGATTCATTAAGTGGTAGCAAATAGAATAATTTCTCAAAGGCAAATTTCTCAGTATACATACAGTTGGGGGGAGGAGGGGAAAGAGTGTGCATTAACTAGTGAAATCCACCAAACTGCATATAATACTCTGTTACAACAAAGAGTTTGAAGATAAGGGAAATGTTCTAATATAATTTCAGATTATATTTCTTTTTTTAAAAAAAGTTTTTAAATTTATATATGACAGCAGAATGTATTACAATTCTTATTACACATATAGAGCACAATTTTGCATATCTCTGGTTGTATATATAGTATATTCACATCAATTCGTGACTTCATACCTGTACTTTGTGTTTTTTTTTTTAAACAAATTATGGCACACTTTATTCAGTACATTACACACTAAAACAAATCTGGTTAAGCATACAAATAAATGAAAAGATCAACTCTYAACTTTCAGTAAACCCATGAAACAAAAATTAGGAAAAAAAAGTAAATTGCCAGTGACTAACATAGAAAAGCAGTAAAAATGCTTGTCAAAACCCCAGACCATTCAAGAAGGGAAAAGAGTTTAATAAAATGCTCAAGAAACACATCCTAATCTCTATGTGGCTTTAAAATCAAATTAGCATAGAACAGAAATTTATTATTAAAAAATCCAGAACCAGAAGATCATGGAGATCTCTAATGTAGGTGAATTTAAATTCACCTTTAGAAATGTATCCATAGTCCTGGATACCTGCAGGAGTCAGTTGGAGCTAAAGTTGCAGCTGACTGCTAATTGAATGCATACTGGGAGACCACGAGGTAGAAGTAGCAGGCTCAAGAATAGGAAAATTTTGCACCCAAAGGACAAAAAGAATTTTTAAAAAAATTTTTATTGTTGGTTGTTCAAAACATTACATAGTTCTTGACATATCATATTTCACACATTTTGATTCAAGTGGGTTATGAACTCCCATTTTTACCCCATATACAGATTGCAGAATCACATCGGTTACACATCCACTG